TAGCCCTAACTTTAACAATTTCGCTGTTATAACCTTTCTTCGTCAATATTTGACAGAAATTGTTTTGGAGAGAAACTAAATCGCATAGGCGGCTAAGTTTTGGACTGGGGCATAGGTTAAGACCTCTTATATAGTCATTTTTTTAGGTACTTTGTAGAAGAAATAAAGTTTTTGATTGACCTTCGCCAAATGCTATATTTTTAAAAATTTCAAATGGCACCCCCCTAAACAATTTATACCCCTGGGTACTCAAACCACACATTCCATAGGAAAATTTCAGAGAAAAACCAAGTCGAAACGTCAATTTGTAAGAAAACGTTATTTCCCGAACCCAAGTGTACCATGATGAAACAAAAGATGTTCAATTCTCACTTCTTAACAAAATGCCGTTTTGAAACTGAAAAAATTCCGACTACTTTCGGAGATATTCGGAAAAAAACGAACTCTTGCAAAATCGTTTTATTTTTTGCCGAAGTTATTTAAAAGGATATTCCAAAATAATGACATATTATTATGACCACTTTTTTCCCTCAACAAGATGCTAGTTTTAAATTTTAAGTGCGACGTTTCGTCTCCGGTTAACTATCATCAACTTTATTGAAGCCATATTTCCTTTTTATGTCATTTAATGGAGCTTTTTTCTGATTTCAAAAATGTAAACAATCATTAATAAGAAATAGCGCTATTAATTCGTAAAAACGCAAGAAATCACGGACATACACTGTGACTCAAGACAATGTTTACCAGGTAAAAAGAAGATATTTTGACAAACATTTTTTAACAAAATCACAAAAAAACAGTTAATCAAAAACTATAAAATTAAATTTTTCAGACAATTATCATGAAACATTTCTAGAATTCTTATTTCTTTAGTTATTTATTATTTATTTCAGTAGTTTGATCAAGTAACAAATTACATAAATTAAGTCGCCTATTATTATCGCCACTCGCCAGGCTGCAAAGTTTAACTGATATGTATTTTAAACGGCTTGTAATTTGAGGACTATGTAAACTATGTTCTCCAAGCATGGGAATATTTAAATTAGAAGAAATCTCTCTAGTAAATGTTGATGAATTGTCATTTACATAAAATAATTTCTGTGTACTTTTAAACAAAAACTTTTGTTTGGTTGATTTCGTTCCGGATATTTTTCAAAATAGGCATTAGCAGAGTTTGTTGAATTTTGGTTTTTCTGGCATAATAAATTTGCATCATATCGTGTGGTTCTTCAGGCGTAAATAACCTCATTTCCGAAATCCGTTTAACCGATTTACTTGTTTTTCACAGATCACAGCGCAATAATTAATATTATGACAGGTACCAGTGGCGCAACCAAGGGGGGTGCTTTGGGGCTAAAGCACTCCCCAAAATTCTAAAGAGAATAAGTTTCTTACACATAGACAAGAAGTGGACAAATGAAACGAATTCGATGTTCCGGTTGTCTTAGCGTCAGGGTTGCCAACGTCAAGCTAAATTCGATTGTTACTAATGCATTGTATTAAGTCAAAATAAAAGGTTGAGTTTTGTACTACTCCTTTACTTCTTTCACCCCCCCCCTCACCCCCCAAAGGGTTGGCACTAAGACAACTTGTAATTCTAGCACCTCCCAAAGCAAATTTTTGATTGCGCCACTGACAGGTACGATAATCAAACAAAAGGGAATGGTTTCCTGATCACTTGTTTTACTTTGTCAATGCAATGAGATGTTGGAATTTTGTTTCTATTTTAATTTTTTCTAAATAATTAGCTTTATTTTTTATTAAAAAATTAGTGATGTTTATTTTTGAGTGGGCGGGGTTCAATTTTAATGAAGGCTACTCTACCAACTCAACCCACTATACAGGGTGGTGACTTGCGTAACGCTTTATAGGGATTTCAATGTAAAATTAATAACATGCGATTATTGGCTCCCCAAATTATTTTAGAGCAAAAATGTATTAAGGTTTTTCTGTAGAAAAATTTTTTTTACGTCAATCAACCGTATTAGTTTTCAGTTTTTTTCATATAAAGACGGAAAATTGGAAAAATAAAACCCGCATCTTTTTCAATCATCTGTGATGCCATGGAATTTTCTAAAACAAAAAGATATCCAGTTATCAATTAGCAGCAGTTATGAGTGACAACCCCTCACCTCAAAACCTCAAAATTTAATAATTAACAAAAAAAACTAAATGTTGACATTGAGGGATTTATGGCAATTGGCCAAGAACTTCAACCTGATCTGCTTCACTAAGCAATCTTGGTTGCTTTCTTTTTTTATTGATAACAGATTCCGTTTCTTCGAATTTAGCGACCAAATCTTTCTGTTAATTATTAAATTTTTGTTAAATTGTCTTAATGAATAATGACTTTATTGATACCACTGGAAAGCATTTTTCAGTAGCTTTCCAACGATGTGTCACAAGTATGGGGTTGTAATTTAGGATTTTTGAAGAGGGTGGGGCTGGGGTTAAGGGAGGGGTGGGGGTTGTCACTCATAACGTCATTTTGGTTCCCCCTCGATACCCCCGAAACGGTTTTGCGCGATTTTCGATTAAGGGCCAGGTACATTCATGCATTTTCGTCAATTTTTCTCGGGCAACGGTACTTGAGCATGAAATATCGGCTTCGATAATTCGCCATTTTGAAGATGACATCTCAATTTTAAAATGTTTAAAGTAAAAATGGCATAAACCTAATACATATTGGAAAGAGAAAAGAGCTATAGTATCGTAATTCTTACCCGATCTTCGATGTATCTGAAACATATTCCCTTAATATTCTAAAAATTCACTTCATTATTTTGGGAGATGCTTGAGAAAATTTGAAATTAAAGTGCGTTGAAGAAGTGAACATATACGACGTTGCCTTGCTTCATTGAAACATTTTTCAGTAATTAAGCATTTCTACCAAATTAAAGCTAAAGATTTGTACACCTTTTTGGTGTTGCAATTTCCATAATAGGCTATGATATTCTCTACGTACGGACAACAGTAACTGTACCTCCGCGGAATTGAATGAATGAATCGTAATTCGGATCATTAGATTTGAAGTCATTAAAATAAGTATTTAACAACTCGAAAGTGTTAGGAAGTGCATTTTTTAATGCCCACACATGAATAAAATGTTAACTAATAAGTTTCTAATTGAATTAAAAATCAAGCTGTGCACAATCGCATCTTGAGGTATAATTCGAATACTGGTAACCGATTATTACGATTAGAAGAATAGAAACATCGATTACGGAACTCGAGGCGATGAATGGTTATCTTGTTAGTAAAATTTAAGTGGTACCAAATGATAATTTGCAGATATTTGAATCTCCTTTAAGCATTCAATTAATTCTTTAGAAAGTTTTTAGTTTATCAAAAGATAACCAGAAGTTATGTTGTCACGCAGATGGCAAATAAAAATCGTCTCAAAGAATCTTATATAAAAGTGTACAGCTAGAATGTATAAACAGTTCATTCAAAAATCATGTTTGTGTATATAATTCCTTCTTATTGATACTGTTAAACGAATTGTACGATTCAATTACTGTACAGTATACCATGATCTGGCAGTTGGTTACGTACTCATCAACGTGCGTTGATGGTAATTACAAATAACACCGTATTCCAGCTGTTCCGGTTTCATCTGCTCACGCAACATCTCCTAATGTATTCGGATAATGACAACACATATAGGTAGTAGAAGGTATGCCGTCATCGCCATACCTACCTGTACAATTAGTCGATTGTCACTAAACATCTGCCAGATTAAGAAAACTGCGCTCGTTTCAAATATTAAATTAGATAAAATCTTAAATCCATAAATTTCAATGTTTTACATAAAAATGCTTGGACAATAATTTATGTAAATAGGTACACATTGTCGCGTACAGAAATATAAACGTGTTCTTGCCATGAGATTATTTTGCAGTTTCAGTGTGTGAAAAGCATAATTTTGCGTAACGCTGAAAGAGCCTAGCTCAAGGAAAACACTTCAAAATTAAATTAACACTGTGCAATTACAGGTAAGATTTTAATTCGTCTGTTCGTAAGAGAGGACTAAACCCGTTTGTATAAACCAAAACCATCATAATGGGATCATTTCATTCATAAGTAAAGTTGAATGCTAAGATTATTTAGTGCTAGACAGTCAAATCAAATACAATACAATGCAATGCGTTAAAGTTAATTGTTTTCCTTATAGGAGGCCAGTAGGATTAAAATCCAAATCGGATTTAAATTCTACTAAGGTTTTATTGTTTTAATGGCTTCATTTGTTACCCAATAGGACTCGCCCCCCCCCCTACCCCGCCGGGTAGATTTAAGTGGTGGGAGGTAAAAATACTTACACCTACAAAAAGGGTATTTTTGCGGTTTTACGGTTATATCTCGTAAAAGACTCAAAATATCGAAAACCTAGTCCTATTAAAAATTTGAGTCTAGGAGAAAAAACCCGTGAAAAAAACCCCGGAATAAAAACGCTAGGAATAAAAACCCACGGAAAGAAAAACCCTGGAATAAAAACCCCCTTTTTTAAATCTCCACAATAGGTAGGTATACATCTTAGGGCGATTGTACAAAGCAAGTATATACCTATAGTATAAGCGATTAAAGTAGAAAATCTGAAAATTGGATTGAATTTTTAGATTTTATACTTGAAATAGCGGTTACGTGACGCTAATAAGCCCCCAGATAGGATCATGAAATTGATAGAAATGGATAGAGGGCACGTTAACGAAGCGTCGTC